TAACCCCAGCCAAAGTATATTACCAATTATTTGGTGTGTATGTTTCATAATAATTGTAATATGGATACGATGACAGTCATGGTTGGTAATACCTAATGTTTGATGTTGTGTGATTTCAGTATTGAATTTTTGTTTCATTTCTTTTTATAATTGCATTTGTTAATGCAACTGTTCTTATTATACCAATATATATTTGAGAATGCAACTATTAACTGAGTTCTGCATGATTTGTAAATAGAATTCTTTCTACATACAGCCAACAAAAATGAAGAAGAGTCTCCCACTAGAAAACCATTACTAGACAAACCAAAAGAAGAAAATGACTGCTCTGCTTTGTTCGCGCCAATAAAAATATCCATTCTGCATTTAACGTCTCTGCAAGGAATACTTTCTGCGCCGGTTTATCTGTTATATGGATTAACGATTTCATTTATTTGGTCAGAGTTTAGTCGTGCCTACGTTTCGTGTGTGGTTGGGATAAGCCAGGTTTGTTTGTTTAGAAAAATATCATGATATCATAACATTTTTCTCAAAAAAACTAGGAATGATTGACGGGGTTTGAAGTGACTCATACATTTCTACGACAAATGTTTGCAAGATAACCCCTAGCCTCCAAATGAAATGTCAAATATACGGTATTGAAATAACAAACTTACTATCAAATGAGGAAGAGAAACCATGCTCTTAAAAAAATATTTCGCGTGCACAACCACAAATGTTGATATGTTTGCATATTTTATTACTGCTTATTAGTGTTTAGAGCTCAATAGAAGTTAAGTTCTCGACGTACACTTATTTCGATATAAAATAAAATAATCTTATTACACTTGTATTGAAGTTACACCCGGTACAAGGCACTTCTAAATGTTCGATATACATTTCACACTTCAACCCATATGGCGTCAAATAGTAATGAGATGTCTTTTTATATTTCAGGTTGGACTAACAAGTGCGCTGGTCGACTTGCTATCACTTACTGTTTCTATGATAATATCAAGATGTGCCTCAAACTTTGGAATGTTTTACATTTTCATCTTTGGTATGTGTTACGACATTGCATTGTACGTTGCTACTCTGTTCTGGGTTCCAACACCTTCCACTTCATATCTTGTCTACATTTTTGCTTCACTTTTCGGAGTCACTCATGCAGTCAGAAGGAATACACAATATCGTAAGTTTTTTTTACTCATGGTATTTTTGGTACCTTATAAATATAAATTTCAGCTCCTGAAACAGTTCGAAGCATTGCTGTTGTTGTAATCTTTCAATTGTACCCTAAAAAATGCAAGTGCGCCAAATGTAACACATGTATTGTAATGGAAATAAATACATGTGATATTCTGACTTGTTTTGAAATATTTCAGTAAATATTATTAAATACGGAAGATATTACAAAATTATCTCCTTTACGTGGGTTTGTAGTATCTGTTAATTTGTTTTTGAAAATGTCTCTCACCGGCGAACTCTAAACCGGCCCTTTAGATAGGCCTTTGCTAGTGGTCAAAAATACCACCAGTTTGTCAGCATTTCCTTAGATATGGATTTTCAAATAAACACCCTTTCTGGCATTATTAGACTTATATGATTTGATTTTTTTATCAATACCAATCGGTAGGTTTACGGGTTATATTGAAAGTCACGAAACATCTCGAAATCCTGCAATTTTGAAATAGAGTTTCCGTCACTTCAACAATAAATATATGATTTCTTGTCTCGGTTAGACCTATTCGGTCTTATTTGCCAAAATAATGGTGAACTCCAAGCAAGTTTATTTAATTAGCCCGCAGGATTGATAATTAAATTATAATTTCTTAATTCCACAGTTGCTGTAAGATTGAACAAGGCAACTTTCCAACCGTTGAGGTTTTGTTGGGCCCCGATACCATATTTAACGAGCCATCAAACCCTAATTTATTTTATGGGACCGAGCATTACGGTTATTAGTACTTTGACAGGTTCATTTTATGAAAAAATACATAGACCTATATATCGCCGAATCTTTACAATTTTTTGTGTTTCAGTAACAACACCCGCTCTATGTCCAGATAAAGATGTAGGGTTCACGATACAGAATGTCCTTGGCGGAATAGGCCTGATGATGACTTATGCTTGGACAACTGCTTTCTGCGTTTATGTTAAAATATATATTATGATAGGATCAGTGGTTGTCACAACAGTACTTTGGGTATTTTCCAATAGAATACACCACAAAAAGAAATTAACGGATAATTCAAAAAATCAGTCTTAGCCATATATAATATTCGTTGTTTCCTATTTTAATAAACCGAGTATGTATATATATATCCTAATTTCGGTGTTTGCGTGCTTGCTATATGAAGAGTTTTCACTGAGAAATGATCTAGATATCAACTTCACTGCGATTGTTTAATCTGGTTCTTCAGAGTAGTCGATGGGTGTTGCATGTTGTGCCTCTTAGGATTTCCATATTTATCTTGAGTTAAAGTAAATTCAGAGAGTGCTTGAACACATAACGGATAGCCTATGAGGGATATATAAATATTACAATGTGGAAAATGAGCTGTGAACCGATTTGTTATCGCTTGAGATGCCTGGAGTTGGTTGTCAGATGACGTTTTTTTTTGATGATCTATTGCGGCTGAGAGAATACCAGCTGAAAACCTAATTAGGATTGAAATCGTTGCTATGACTAACCTGTTTCTACCAATTTATCATGCTGGGATACCCGTCGCACATGGTGCGCGATAAACCTCAATGATAATATGAGCTGACTTGAATAGCAATTTTACGAACTCAAATAACTATCCAGTAATTAAAATTATTCTTTGTTTTCATGTCAAAATTATTTTGTAAAAAAAAGGCATTAGATAATGAATTTCGGAAATCACGCTCATAAGGTATTTCTCGAGTATCAACATTCGATTTTAAAACAATGTAACATAAAAATCACATTGGAAGTCAAACATACGTTGTTTGTTTGAAGACTAATACTATTACTTCTTTTTAGGTGCCTTACATTGTTATAGTAGAAATTAGTCGTGTTTTGCTAATTAAGTTCACAAACCAAAATTTAAATAACGGTTAGAAAGTGCACGAATTGTTATAGAATTTCTTTTTATACAATATACAATACATTTGTAGTACATGCAATACTAAATCACAGGACATTTGTATGTATCGCCGCATGCGGCCTTTGCTCCGGTTTCATGCGACTCTTTTCGCATTGGGAATTTCAAAAAAAATAACTTGCAAACTACGATTTAGCATGTTTTGGATAAACGTATTCGTCTTGCATTCTTATTTTACGTCGAAGATACACGAACGCCTTACCATGATATCGTCCATTATTACGTCACAACCGAATTCTTTGTTGTGTATTTTTAGTCAAATATTTTTAGCAGTATCAGCATACTGCATAAATAAGTACAGTCTAAAAAATGGTAAATATTCTTATGTATAACATAAGATTGTTTAATACCCTTCTCAGACCGCTTCCCTGAAGCTATCGAGTGGAGAGGTAGGAACTAAATATAATTAATTTATTTTAATTTTTATCGTTTTCTTGTTTTATTTTGCAACATAACAATACCACTATTAAAGCTGAAATCATTACCGGGAAAGTCACACACAATTAGTTGTATTTACGGAATTTACAAATTCAACACTTCAGTTGGCAAATTTGATGACGTCGCATCCTAATTATTACTGCATACAGGTTACTAAGTAACCGTTACTTAAATGCAACACACTTTGCATGCCTATTTTGCATGTATATTTTGCAACGATAATACACGCAACTGTTCGTAAACAAGCCAATGTTCGCTGTTACTTTGAAATTCAAGATCAATTTTACGTTCTATTCTTTTTTTTATAATTTTGTCACATTGTTACCCTCTCTCATTCCCAAAAGAAGCGTCGATTTAGTAAGTGCGCCCCAAAAATTAACAGAATTGTGTTAAACATAATTAAATATTTTACATATTGTATATATTTTATTGTTTCACATTTAAAAATGCTATGTAAATGAATTGATAAATTCATTTCACCGTTTTATGTCGTTTGTTTTCTGTTATGTGGGGTCTTTTGGATTATTTTAATCTAAATTTTGATTATTTTCGTATGATTTAGATGTTAGAATATTTTCTAGATTAATTTATTGTTCATCTAGATATATTTAGATTATTTTGACTATCGTTATTTTGCATTGTTCTCTAGTGGCAAAGAGGTGAAGTGCTACAGTCTGACAGTATATTTGAGGAGATATGATAAGATATTGGCAAGTATTGCCATGCTCTGAAAGTAGCGAGGAGTGAATGCTGTTGTTATGCTAAAAGATGAAATCAGGAAATACTGTCTGACTGTTGTTAACTAATTTTACCCCTATATGTTGGAATGGGCAGTATAGGATACTTCTATAACTATTCTAGATTATTTAAATCGAATCCAGAATACCGAATCCTATTCTATTTATATTGTTATTCAAATTTGGGAATTCTCCCACCATAATGATGGATTACAATTTGAAAATAGGACAATTGATTGTATTTTATTTGTGACCAAATATGACAATGGAATAAAAGAATTTAATTGAATGCCTTTTGCCTTGAATTGTTCAAAACTAATATGATCCCTGAATACTATGTTGAAACAACATGCGTATGAGTATGATACACTTTTTAGTACTAAAATCTAAAAGTTTCCAGTTATTATCGTTATATAATAATGTTGCATCATGTCCTCCAATAGTATATGGCCGGATGGAAAAACTGCCTTCGCCACCTGTGACAACTTATTCAATTTATCGTCGACTAAATTACCGCACGACACGCGGCCAAACGTGTGTTGAGCTTGGACGATAGGAACGGATTCACCGGCGATTTGAATTCTGAAAAATATGTATTTTATCGGGAGTGCAAAATGAATGTAACAAAACGCATTGTCTTGCGATATAACTTTGTATTTTCAAAAACGGCGTGTTCTAAAAATAAAATTTATTCTAAATTAATCACAAAGAATGTCGGCGATAGAAGTTTCTTTTCAGTTGATTATTATTTTGAACGCTGTTCTTCCTTGTGTTCCGACCGGCTAATTTTTATCGATAATTGCTTTTCTGTTTTGACGCGAATTTCGCGGGCTTTACTGCACCTGACGTGTCACGCGTGGCTCTTGCATCTCGACTTTACGCGTCGTAGGACGTTCTTGTTTAATCTTGTTATGGTGTCAGTGGTGTGGTTTCGCATTATCCGCTTTACTGACTTAGCGTGTGGGTGGCATTTGGTCTCGTTAGGTAGAACTGTGGTGAGGGTATCGTAACCGGGGCCCCATATGACCATCGTCGTCATTTATTGCTTTAATTGTTCATGTATTTTTATATTTCATTCTGCTTTCATTTCATAACTGCTTTCTAAATTTAGTTGCTATTATATTCTAATAACGTGATCGTTCACGTTACCTGTCAGTTTCTTGTCGATTTAGGCCTTTGGAGCGTTATCATATGTAAGTTTATTTTCTATTAACTTTCTGGTTATGCATTTTCGTTCCGCCTTCATCTTGTGATTGTTTATTGACTATTTCACTTTATTTACAGTCAACCGTTTTACAATAAACGCGTATGACATGGAACATCTGTGTGCCTAAATCTGACAAAGTTGAATATGACGCATTTGTTGAAGAAGTCGCCAAATACTGAAGAATCTGAAGCAACAGTGGCTTCATCGTCGACGAGTATGGAAGAAAGTAAATCCGTAACCGATAATATAATTGAGAGCTTGCCATCCTTAACCACACTCAGACAAAAGCGTGTCAACATAGAGACCGAGCTTAAATCATTGTTGACCAATAGTCGGAATTTGATAAACGAAAAGGCTCGAAGATCGCAACTGGCATGCCCTAAAGCAGAGTTATATTTTAAACTGGCCGCTTATAATCAAATTATATCGAACATATCACCTCAAATTCGCAATGCAGAGTCAAAAGCTGCTTTCGAAGAAGGCGTTCGGAGCGTGATATCTGAAGTTGAAGGTATGATCGATGAAATTGATAGTTACATCGACCGCGAACCTGAAGCATCGTGCGTGGCACCTGACGAAAAGAACTCTAATGTTTCAAGCGGAAGTCTGAAAGATAACAATCAGCCAGCTTTGGCCCAACAGCCGAATGGTAAAATGGGGGCGGCGATTGACCAACTTCGAGAGTCTAGCTTGGCGGGGAACGTAACCCACGAACCACAAAAACGAGAACACGATGATCGTCGAGAGACACCATCTCTCCCAAAGAGTAGCTTTATGAACCCCAGGTTCAATGACTTTGACGAACGCGATATGTTAGAATCAACTCGAAGAAAAAGTGCCCGCTTTGAACCAGAGACTTTCACTACGACAGATACACGTCGTGAATATACGATTTCTTACACTTCAAGACATTATCAAAATCCTTCACCAGCAAACCAGATGCCATTGCCAGACCAGTCGGTAGACTCCTGGATCGATATTCTCCAACCAAATCAAGCAGGATCTAGAACGGTAAATGATAAATTTTCTCTAGCTGAGCAAACGTGTTTATCTTTGAGTTTAAATTCTAAAATGTGGGCTGAACATCATTTGCCGCCGGTCCAAATAAGTCCGTTTGATGGTAGTGCTATAAATTGGCCTAATTTCATTGAATTGTTTTATGAAAATGTGCATTCACGATTGGACGACGATGGTCAACGCATGGTGAGATTGTCCTCATATTTGTCGGGTTCGGCGAAGCGTCGCGTTGAGGGATTAGGTACCGCCGGCAGTCATTACATACTGGTTTTGAAAGAATTGAAACGCCGCTACGGACAGTCTGTATTTATTGCACGGGCCGTGCTTGACCGTGTTGTGAACGGTAAGCGTATTTCGCCTCTCTCGGCCGATAGATTACTTAATTTTCACTCAGACGTGCGTGACTGCGTGGTGAATCTAAAAAAGATGTGTTTTTTGGCTGACATCAGTAGTGTCGAGAATGTAAGGAGAGTTTCAAACAGGATTCCTCAAGAACTGAATTCAAGTTGGAATAAATTTGTTGTGGGTTTTATTCACGAGAACTCTAATCCGACATTAATAGACTTTGAGCAATGGTTGTGGGAAAGAACTGAGGAAATTGCCAATCCTTTTTCTCCTGATGTTACTTGCAATGTCACCAATAGAGTTGACAATGAGAGGCCCAAAACCGGTCGTCGCCAGTTAATTACGTCACCATTTTCAACGTTAACAAATTCGGAATCCGTTAATGCCTCATGCAGTGACGCACTACGTTGTCAATTCTGCAATGCTGGCCATTCTTTAAGAAGTTGTGATGTGTTTTACGGTGCAACCGATGACGTAAAACGTAATTTTGTTGTAGAGTTCAGACTTTGCTTTAAATGTCTTGAACCGGGCCATCGTGCATTTATGTGTAGATGTGATGTCAAGTGTAGTATATGCAGTGGGAAACATCATAAATGTATTCATGGAATTCGCATGTTTGAAAGCGTCCCAAGACCAACAAACCGACAGGGTGTAAACAATGCGATGTCGGTAACCACTAGGGTTCAATTTCAGTTGCTACCTGTATTGGTTAGAGGAGCTAATGGACGCTCCGAATATACCGTTGCTTTGCTCGATTCGGCAAGTCAGGTTTCTCTCATTCATCCTAAACTTAAAACTAAATTGGATTTGCGTGGATGTCGTAAAAAGCTTATGTTAACCACCCTGGCGGGAACTGGGATTTCATATGATTCAGAAGCGGTTGGATGTTTTGTACGTGACAAATTAAATCCCGATGGCAAAGAACTAGCTCTAAAATCAGTTTTCGTATGTGACAATAGAATTCCCCACCCTGAAAGACGTCAAACGGATTTTGAAACTTTTCATCATTTACGCGGAATACCACTCCCTGATATTAAAGAAAACGAAGTTATGTTGCTTATAGGTGCGGACCATCCGTTTGCCCACTTTCAACTAGAAAGTCGTGTAGGGGGGGATAACGAGCCTATTGCTATTAGAACGCCACTCGGGTGGACTTTGCTAGGTGCAAACAAACGCGCTGGTGAAGTCGACCTAATTCAGGCCAACTGTCATTTATTACACGACGATTACAATATCTTGCAAGAACAAGTTAAGCAGTTTTGGAGTACGGACGCGATAGGAATGGTTTACAACATGAAGCGAGCCGAATCAGTGGAAGATCGCGTGGCTGCGGATATGATTAGAGCTAAAACGTCCATTGTTGATGGGCATTATCAAGTTGGCTTTTTGTGGCGTCACGATGCTTCCATTATGCCGGAGAACAGTCTTATTGCCCGCACTAGATTTAAAAATCTGAAATATCGACTTTTGAAAAATAACTGTCTGAGAGACATGTACTGCACGTCTATGAGGAAAAATATCGAACGTGGCTGGGTGCGAAAACTGACCGATAAAGAACGGGATACTTTGGGCCCTCGAACTTGGTACCTGCCCCATCATGGAGTTCAGAATCCGAATAAACCCGGCAAGATAAGAATAGTTTTTGACGCCGCTGCTACATATTGTGGAATTAGTTTAAATAATCAGATATATTCGGGACCTGATCTTATTAATAATTTAATTGGTGTTTTACTGCGATTCAGAGAAAGACCCGTTGCATTGAACGCTGATATTGAAGCCATGTAGGGGAAGGTGGGGTACGTTGGGACATGGGGCACAGTGGAAAATCAGCTATCACACTGATACTATATCCGCAATCCTGTCCGCGACTCGATGTTCCAATCCGCCCTTCGGTGAGTTACAACGTCCCCGCGAACGGACAACGGACGGGTAGAGCGGCGTAAGCTATGGGGTGAAGTTGGTTTTGGGAGGTTGAAAAAAAAATTTCACCGTTCCAGTTTTTTCTTTTTTTTAGTTTAGCCTTTCCAACGAGACAAACCATCGTCTGATATTCTTTAGCGTCAGTCCACTGTAAAATATCCCTAACGTTAGCGATTGGCTGTGCCTTCCGAATTTTGCCGTGGGATGGTCTGAAAGTATTTGTTTCCTATGGGGAACAATGGACCGGGGTTCAGTGGGACATGCTCTACAGGGCACAATTCGACAGTGTTTTATACAATAAGTGCTTAGAGACTTAGAGATGCGTTATATTTTGTGTAATATAATGGTTTCTTTCGACCCATGGCCCAATATGGAATATATTCGAGAATCAATAATATTTCCAGATTTAGATTCGAGGAAGGAAATAATCAAATTTTTTTGCAAAATGTTTTGTCAAAATATCTGAACTATTTCAGTTGAACATTGATTTTAAAAATATTAAATCTTCAAATTCGAAGTCTCACGGTACTTTAGACGATTATGCTGATTAATTGCTTATTTTTAAGGGCATACTTCGTTGAATTTTGACAGACTGACCCATTGTGCCCCAGGGTGTGTCCGATTGTGCCCCACAAGTGGGGTACAGTGGGACACTTGACAGACGTTTTTCAAAGCATTTTGGTAGTAAGATGTGTGTCGCAAGGGAATTTCTTTGTTTCTGAATAAAAACTACATTTACCCCTCTATGCATTAGTCCCGCAAACTTAAGAGAATATGCAGAATTAACGGCTCAAAATATGCAAAAGAAAAAAAGTGTCCCAACCTTCCCCACTTTCCCCTATCATATGGTGCGTCTACCGCAGTCAGACACCGATTCAGTTAGATTTTTCTGGCAAGAAGATCTAAGATCAACATCCCCACCTGATGTATATCAGTTTTTAGTAAGGATTTTTGGTGCGGTCGACTCGCCATATGTTGCAAATTACTGCCTTAAACAAACCGCGCTTGATAATACCAGCCAATTTTCAACGGAAGCAGTAGAAACTGTTCTCAGGGATTTTTACGTAGATGATCTGCTTTCATCAAAATGGAATGATGACTCCGCTTTTTCCGTCGCACAAGAAGTTTCTAATATGTTAGCAAGTAGGGGTTTTCGATTGACAAAATGGCTTTCAAATTCCAAAACATTATTGTCGAAATTTAACACAGAGAATCGTCTTAATCCTGATGTTGATCTAGATTTTGATTGTTTGCCCGTTTCTAAGGCGTTGGGACTTCACTGGAACACTAATGACGATGATTTCTTCTTTATTTACAATTCGTTGGCAAAACCTGTTACAAAAAGAGAGGCGCTAAGCGCGACGGCATCGGTTTTTGATCCTCTCGGAATTTTAGCCCCTATTATTTTAACTGCAAAACTACTTATACGGGAGTGCTGGAGAGATGACTTGAAATGGGACGAAAATTTTGATGACCGTAGGAAGAATACTTGGGGCGACTGGACCGAATCGTTAAAACAATTGACTAATTTTCGTGTGCCTAGACAATATTTAGGAGTCTCGAAAACCGACGCCACTTATGAGCTCCACTTGTTTTGCGACGCGTCTGAACAAGCTTATGGTACCGTGGCTTACTTGCGTGCCAAGAAAGGCCAGTGTGTGAATTGTAGTTTTTTGATGGCCAAATCAAGAGTCTCCCCGATGAAACATATGTCCGTTCCCAGACTAGAGCTGCAAAGTGCCTTATTATCCGCGCGTCTGCTGAAATTTCTGCGCAAGTCTTTAACCCTGCCCATCACATGCGAAATGTTGTGGTCAGATTCTACGTGTGTTCTGAGATATCTCAGAAACACTAAAACAAGATTCAAAACATTTGTTGCAAATAGACCGCGTGAAATTCTTGACTGCACTGAACCTGCGCAGTGGCGTTATGTCAATACCCAAAATAATCCAGCGGATTGTTGTACGAGAGTCATGCCCATGAACAAATTCATCGAAAGCGATAACGTGTGGATAAGCGGACCAAAGTTTTTATTGTTGCCTGAATCATCGTGGCCCCAACAGCCGGTATTAGGAGCAATTAACAATCGTGATTGCGAAGTTCGCGGAAAGGTCTGTTTTACAGTTACGTGGCCGGAAATCCATAAATACGAATTTCTGAATGACAAAAAACCGCATCGACAACTTAATCAGGGTGGAAATGTTTTCCACATGGTACTCGTTATGCAAGCGGACAGCTATGGTAATTGCAGTCGCGGATGTGTTTCGAAGAAAGACCAAAATCTTAGAGCTTCGTCCGAAACTTTTAGAACTGAGTGGCATGATGTGGATAATAGCGGCCCAGCGAGAGCATTTTGCAGAAGAAATAAATGCTTTGAAATCGGATAAATTACTCTCGTGCAGGTCACCGTTATTGTCGTTGACACCTTTTTTCGATGGAGTCTTCTTGCGTGCAAATGGTCGTTTACAAGAGTCACCTGAGCCGCTTGAAACGAGGCATCCAATAATATTGCCATACAGTAGCACTAAGTGTAAAGATAGTTGTTCTTGTCGTGTGTCTTGGCTTCTGATGTGTGCAGCTCATTGTCGATTAGCGCATTCTGGCCCAGATGCAATGTTAGCGTCGATCCGGCAAATATTCTGGCCATTGAAGGGTCGCAAACTTGCCAGTCGCGCAATAAAGAATTGTTGGCCGTGTCGGAAACGCTCAGCTCGCCCTCAACCGCCCCTTATGGCAAACTTGCCCGAGGTTCGTCTGACGGAGGCGAGGCCATTTTTGAACAGTGGGATAGATTACTTTGGTCCACTGTACGTGAAACGAGGACGGTCCACTGAAAAGAGATGGGGATGTATTTTTACTTGTTTATCGTGTAGAGCAGTGCATTTGGAATTGGCCTGGTCAATGGAAACTGATTCCTTCATATGCGCTCTTAGAAAGTTTACAGCAATCCGAGGCCCCGTGAAAGGAATATGGAGTGACAACGGGTCCAATTTCGTTGGCGCTTCAAGAGAATTACGGCAATTAATTTCTGATCTGGATCAAACTCGCATTACCAACGAATGTTTGAAGAAAGGCATTGATTGGAATTTTTCGCCACCTTATGCCCCTCATTTCGGGGGCATCTGGGAGCGGCTCGTCAAGAGTGCAAAGCGTACTTTGAAGGCAGTCCTTGGTAACCTATGTGTAACGGACGAAGTATTAACGACTGCGTTCGCTGAAATTTCCGATATTATGAACAGCCGTCCTTTAACTCATATTGGGGACAACGTACGTGATCCAGCACCCCTCACGCCCAATTGTCTTATACGTGGGCATACTGACGCAAATACACCACTGGATACGGATTGTACATCAACAGCGCATCGGAGAAGATGGAGACAAACCGAAGCAATCTCGAATCAGTTCTGGAAGCGATGGCGGCGAGAGTATCTACCAATGTTGATGACTCGAACAAAGTGGCTGAAAGATCATAGGAATTTATCGATAGATGATATCGTAATTGTTGTAGATGACGGCGCGCCAAGAGGAAGTTGGCTACTAGGAAGAGTTATCAAAGTTTTCCCTGGAAAAGATAACCGGGTGCGTGTCGCAACCGTTAAAACAACAAATGGGGAAATAACCAGACCTGTGACGAAACTATGCCTCCTGGAAAATGAATAACCCCTTGAAGGGTTATTGGGGGCGGCTGTGTCGGCGATAGAAGTTTCTTTTCAGTTGATTATTATTTTGAACGCTGTTCTTCCTTGTGTTCCGACCGGCTAATTTTTATCGATAATTGCTTTTCTGTTTTGACGCGAATTTCGCGGGCTTTACTGCACCTGACGTGTCACGCGTGGCTCTTGCATCTCGACTTTACGCGTCGTAGGACGTTCTTGTTTAATCTTGTTATGGTGTCAGTGGTGTGGTTTCGCATTATCCGCTTTACTGACTTAGCGTGTGGGTGGCATTTGGTCTCGTTAGGTAGAACTGTGGTGAGGGTATCGTAACCGGGGCCCCATATGACCATCGTCGTCATTTATTGCTTTAATTGTTCATGTATTTTTATATTTCATTCTGCTTTCATTTCATAACTGCTTTCTGAATTTAGTTGCTATTATATTCTAATAACGTGATCGTTCACGTTACCTGTCAGTTTCTTGTCGATTTAGGCCTTTGGAGCGTTATCATATGTAAGTTTATTTTCTATTAACTTTCTGGTTATGCATTTTCGTTCCGCCTTCATCTTGTGATTGTTTATTGACTATTTCACTTTATTTACAGCCAACCGTTCTACAATAAACGCGTATGACATGGAACATCTGTGTGCCTAAAATCTGACAAAGAATATTTTGAAATCTGATATCTGGTACACATCCGTTTCCGGAAGGACACGAAAAGTCATTTAATTTAAACTAAAGAATGTTTAACGTAGGATATAAATATTGTTTCCTTGCAATATTCAATGTTGTGTATTTGATATTCGGAGATTGTAGAGAGAAAATTACATCCGTAGCTATTGTTTAATTGTTCACTAGCGTTCAAGCCTCCACTTAGGAACAGAAGCTATAAGTTGGCAATAATTTAATTGAAAAATACATGCACACAGTTCAGGAGGCAACAAGCTTTCAATTTTTCTCACGATAAATACTTAAGTTACCCTATTTATGTTCTATAAGACGTATTTATGTTAGTAATTATTTTCCTTTATATTGCAATTTTCGTTATTTCAGTGAAGTAATGAAACGGTGTCTTAATGTACTCTTTTCACAAATATTTCACGCTGGTAACTAACTTTTTGGTATAAATTTCCGGATATAGCAATTAACATGATGGCGAGATATTGAGATTGAGACAGTATTATCATGCATGTCCTGAATGTTCTATCG